CCCACGTAAAATTTTAAAACATATAAAATACAAGGGTAACAATTACTAAAAGTGGGCCATTCATTCCAGTCCAGCCAACTCCCATACACTCAACATACTATTTAAAATTGCGCAGTTAAAATATATAATAATAATATGGAAACAGTGGAGGAAGCGATATGGAACCTGTGCAGTCGCAGGTTGGCTTTTAATTAGTTGGACAGGCCTTGTTTGTGAGACGCTGCAGTGTGTAAAGTAGGTGACAGCAGCAGAAACTTTAGAATTTATTGGATGATTTGAGTTTGGGAAGAAACAAGCAGTATCGGTATGTTGGGACTGTCATTTGGGGAAGATTAGCCAAAGAATGGAGTCTTTTTCTGTTTGACTATATTTCCTTTTTAAAGATTCCCCACCGGAGAAGCCTTATAAAATATTATTGAATTTGTATGTTGTCAACTTCCAATGATTCTGCCATTTACTATGAAGTTAGAAAGCCTTTCTTCATTACCAAACAGAATAACAAAGTTGGAAGGGCCCTTGGAGATCTTATAATCCAACCCTCTACTCAAGCAGGAGACCCTATACCATTTCAGATAAGTGGCTGTCCAATCTCTTCTTAAAAACCTCCAGTTCGGGGGAGCACCTACAACTTCTGAAGCTGTCCTACTAATTAATTGTTCTGTCAGGAAATTTCTCCTTATTTCTAGGTTGATGCTCTCTGATTAGTCCCCATCCACTGCTTCTTGTAAGGATGATGCGGTCAATTGCTACTTTAAAAATACTCCTGATAAATTGCCTTACAAATGGGTCTTACCGTGAAAATGTAGACAGCCTAACTACAGTACTTGGGAATTCATAGTACTATTGATGAGGATCTGGCTTTTAAATATCATCGAGGAAAGAAAAGAAAAAGGCAAAATACTTTTGATCTATTTATCCAAAGGCCAAAAGACACAGAACTTAACACAATCTTTTAAAATATGCTAAGAATGTTGAAATACTTCAGAAGTCATACAATCCCACATATAGTGGAATATTTTTAGTGATAATTTCCATATATAAATTTATACATAGATACATGCGCGCGCACACACACACACAAACACACACATTTACTTAATTCACATACCACTTGCAATTGAAGAATATACCCCGATTTTGGGTAAGAAAGATAGATGATGAGAATAAGAATTTCAAATAAAAATGCTTCAAAGAAAGTCCATATTTTCTACTTGTTTATTATTTCTTGTGTAGAATCTTGGGACTCAACTCATGTCTAGAGTTTAACGGTATATTCTATATTATTGTATAAATTAAATCATATTCTTGGGCAGCCAGCAAGAATGGTGAAATGAACTGTACCGACTCATCAGTCTTTGATATTGATACTGATTTAGTTTTTGATAGATCAAAGACATAGATTTTTAAAAATATTCTAGTACTTAACAAACAGTTGCAAAATGACAGTTATAATGTGTAGAATGCTAATGGATACAGATTGTTTTGTCCCGGCTATTGAGGACAGAAAATGGAACTTTGGTGACATTTTAAAGAGAGGAAACAAATCCAAGGGCACTGTGTTCTGAGGGGAGAAGGACACTCACTACAAAGAACTAAATAACTTGATAAAAATAAACAGGGTAAAGTTTTCTGCAGGAAAACATGAATGCAAAAGATGAAGGTATTTTTACTTCACATTTCTTATAAATAACTGAATGAAGCTGCTTGAAGAGACTCTTCTACGAATGCAATTACTTTTAATAAAAGGATTCTTAGATTCACAAGTTGAGATAGGCTACAATACAGATCATGGTCTGAAAGGAAAATGCAATATACGAAAATGCAGTGATCCGATAAAATCACATTAATAGAATAGTGATAACAAGGTATCAGAACCCAAAACTTTTTCCCGCCTATTTGGCTATGAGATTCATTGTGGAGAGAATTTTGTTTTATTTGGTTTTGTTGTTTTTGACATTGCAGCCAAGCAGAAATGAAAGAGATGACACTATTATGTGGCAAAACTTTACGTGTTTTGTTTCCGTATGCTAAAACGATATGATTTCAACTTTTCAGCCAAAATAACACCCTTAGTTTTGAGCTAACAACTGACTTTTGGATGCATTTTTTTTTTGAACTGGGGCTGTTTTCTTTGCTTGTTGGTGAAAAGAGAGTTACAAATCTGATTTAAAAGCAAAATGCTTTTCATGCTTCTTAGCTTGCTTTATTAATCTGTCTCTGTCTCTACCCAACCTACCTTAATGGATGGCCCAGCATATGATGGGAGGGAAAGCACACATGCAGCTCTGGGCTCCTTGAGAAGAAACGCCTATTAGAAATATAATAACAAATATCCAGACGGAGTTACATTGTCCTGAGTGTAATTTACTATATGCCTGGCTAAGTTGAGGTGGCCTCTTGTCAAAATGAAGTAGAAAAAGGAAAGGAACAGCATAAAAGGGGGAAAACAGACCCTTTCCCATCAATCCCACAGGATTCTAGAATGGTGCTGATTCCAGGCAGGGGAAGGGGCAGCATTTCTTGGGGAGGAGGGTGGTGGGCGGAGGGAGATAGTAGAGACCCTGGTTTTACTCACTGAACGTGGGTGTAGGAAACGTGGGAAGCCGACCTGGCCCTGATTTGGCTGCCAGAGTTCACCCTACGTCAAGCAAGCTGAGGGAGGAGCGTGATATTGGGAGAAACGAGGAGTGGGGGGAAGCAGCGAGGGCGCCAGCCAATACACACCGGCTGCGGCTGGACAGTCGCTGACTCAGTGCCCCGGCTAAGCTTCGCGTTCAGCTCACTGGAGCCAGGAACGCGCGGAAAGGAAGGCACCCAAAGCGGCTCGGCTTTGGGAACCTCAAGAGCCTGACCCGGGCTGTGTCCAAGGACTGGCACGCGTTCTCAAGGGGGAACCAAAAGGCAGAAAGAGAAGTCTTTCCACGCTCAGCCCGGCTCGGCTGTGGGAAGTTTCTCCCATTGCTAGCTAGGGGAGCAAAACGAAGGGCAGCGTAGTTGTGGGGAAGCAACAGCCTTGGGCGCGCGCGGAGCTTTTCTTTGGAAAGCCAGAAGCAGCGCCGGCTCGTGTCTCCCCCTTCCCTCCTCGGAGCTGCTACTTAGTAGGCGGGGGCGAGAAGAGGAAAGAGGGCTCAGCCTCTGGAGTCTCCACGCGGAGTTAGCGAGGGAGAGCGGAGAGCTTCGCCAGGGCATCCTTCCGAGAGGATTTCGGTGGGAGCCACGCGGGACCCACCTGTCGAGTTTGCTTCCCCCCCCCCCCCCCCCCCCCCCCCCCCCCCCCC